CTCCAGTTATTTCAAGTCGAAGCTTCAAAGCAGAGTATCACTAAGTACTGCTGAAGCAGAATATGTGGCTCTTTCGTTATGCACTCAGGCGATTTTGTGGGCAAAGGGTTTAGTGATGGAGATGAAGGTCAAGATTGAATATCCAGTCGTTGGGTATGCAGACAACCAGAGTGCGATTGCTATTGCGAAAAACGAAGGATACCAAAGTCGAGCGAAGCACATAAATATTCGCTATCATTTTGTTCGCAACAAAGTTAAGGCGAAGGTGATTCATCTGGAGTATATTGAAACGAAGTCACAGCTCGCCGAATCTTTGACGAAGGCGATTTCGACCAACAAGATTAAGTTTTTCGTGGCAAAGACAAACGTTGAAGACTTCTAGTCGAGGAGGAGTGTTGATGATGTGCACTTGGTGCTCATCATATAGACTATGTGTACGTCTAAACGTCGTGCTCACGTTTGAACATAGTCGTTTTGGAACGGACACAGAAAGTGAAATCCTTAGCAGTCGGTTGTATGAAGAGGGAAACGACCCAGGCGAGACCATCGTAGTGCTTCTAAGATGACAAGCTGAATGCGTGTGCGAATTGTCGAACGACTGATATACTTTCCAATTTACCCTCTGATTACAAGCTGTCTCCTCTGTTATCGAACCTCTTTAGCTTTATCCTCTGCTGAAGCAGAATATATGACACTGGCACTAGCTACACAAGAAGTGGTGTGGATTCGTTATTTGCTGAAGGAAATGGGTGTAACGTGTAAGACTGCGACGACGATTCACATGGACAACAAGTCGGCGATAAGTATTGCGACGAACCAGAGATATACACCAAGAGATAAGCATATTGACCTCAGGGTGCATTTTGTTCGAGACCACATTAAGCAAGGCAAGATCCAGCTCAAACATGTTCCTTCAGCTATGCAACTCGTTGATTACCTGGCGAAACTACTTGGTGCTCCGCAATCGATGCGACTACGCGATACAGTGTAATTTGCGAGAGTGCAAGTTGAAGGGGAGTGTAGAGGATCACGAGATAAGACGATGATGTGCGTGTTGTGAGCGTGTTGAGGCAACTTGCAGGGGCAGTGGTATTCCAACGTTCTGGAGTGAGTGATCAGTTTACGAGGGGGTTTATACATTCAGTCGGTAGTATTTAACTCTTAATACTACTTTCCATTTTGCAGCACAGAGAAGTGGTTAGCTTTCGTTATACTTACTGCAAGTACTGTTGCTTATAAATCGATTTGCTAGCTTATAAAAGGCTCGGAGCCTCTCATTCGGTTGGTCACGATAACCTTCATTCAGCAAGAAAAACACTGACTGGAATATACTGGTTACGCATTGTACGCGTACCAAAGGACTTGAACAAGGACGCACCTTTATCGCGCCTTTTCATCGTGATAGTGACATCATACTTGAAAGTCTGAGAGCATACATGTTGTTTTGCCGTGGAGAACCTCTTCGTGTTACTACGTTCCGTGTCAAGTGGAAAAATACATCTCGGCGGGATGGAGCACTACGATGACAATTTATGTAAAATTGAGCACGAGCAACCATTATCATCTTATTGTCCATCCGTCTCCTACGAAAAACACTCGACTTCTCTTGTACGAGCAGAATATGATGCAGCTGACTGCGATAGGCACCAACGATGTGGATTACCTCGTGTGGTCGCTGCAGTAGAATAAATAGCGCTCAATGGCCTTTTCAGCGGACTCACCAGCAGTCGCAAGGTTGATTCATACAAGGCTACTCGTAATCAAGTGCAACGTCCTTGCTTGCAAGCGGCTTATGGGATATGCAATAGACGACGCTTCCGCTTTCGATCGCTACCGTACGACCTTATTTGTCGACGACTTCTGCCTCGCGACAATATCACCATCGTGACGATATCAGGATAGCTTAGATCGTTAGTGTACAGATCGCCTGGATTGAAGGTGCGGTATTGTCTGCTACTGCGTTTGCAAGAGTCGGATGTTGAAACGTGCGACAACGATGTAACGTTCGCGAACACCTCATGATGTTATCGGAACCACACGACAATGCATAAGTTAGATCCACTGAGTGGCTTTATCATGCACGGGGATCAGTACAGGTGCGCTGCAGGAGTTCGAGCAGATTCAATCTGACTCTATTGTTTGCTCACTGATTGTGGTCAGTTCTCCGTCGCTACTATAACGCGAGTGCTCACTGGAATGTGGCGGTCACAAATGCAGCCAAACACTTGATGTGCTGCCAGCACTGGTATCTATATCAATTTTTGATCAATTGTCCTTGATGGGGAGTCGGCGTTCGCTGACAACGTCTCGTGATCGTGAAGTGATTTGTATACGTTATGGCCAAACTGGGCAATATCCTCATTGATCGAGAATTTCTTCTACATGTGGCTTCTGGCAGGATCACAGGATTCGTTCCAAAGCGCTGTCGTCAATCGAATGGATTTGTCGAAAAAAGAGACTGGAATCACAAGTCAAGAATGGATTGGGGACTGTGTGCTTCGCAACTGTCAAATTGACGGTAGCGGTATGTTTTCAAAAGCAGTCCGGCGACTTCCGTGCTTTGGGGGTAAACATAGTGCAAGCATTAGTCAAGGTGTCGTTCTTTTTAGACCAACTTGATCTTCCAACGACGAATGCCACGTTTCCAACAGGTCCACCGGTCATCTTATTCTCCTCTGGCTCATAATTGTATCTGAAACTTTGTCGTGAGTCGCTCCGGCTGAGCACTCTCGTCCTTTTCGATGTGATCCATATTCCCACAATTGACGTGGAAAAGCTGCATACGCAGCTGCGTAAGCGTATCTCCCTAGCTCACGTTCCAGCTTACTTTCCGCCTCCACATTCTTCTTCGATCAACCTTTGCTCCTCTTCGTCTTCACAGCAGTTGAGGAGACAAAAGACTCGGCCGACATTCGTGCATTCGTGCGATTGTAGCGATGGATTGTCGTGGTGGATGTGATGCCAATCCAGTCATTTACTGACATCTGCATCGTAGGAAACTGGTCGAATTTGTTTACGTCGTCGTCTTTCCTACGATGGTCACAATCAATCGATTTTTGCAGATGGCAGCAGCGGTGCGCCGCTAAGTTGAGGTGATACCGGCATCCATCTACTGGATCTCGGACGTGTTTCACCAACGAGGCGAGCCTTGGCAACGATAAGCTCGAGGCCGCATGTGCGATGTGCAACTTAGTACTACCATTGATAAAGACAGACTATCGACAATATCTGCTGCATAACTACAGCTTTCACAAAAGCTCAAACCACACGGCAAAAGTACAGAATGTCTCTCTCGTCTTTGGACACATGCCGACCCTACCCAGGAACCTGCATGTATAGTACCTACTCAGCAGACTGAAGATCAGTAGCCTCGACTCCTGGTTATGTCTCGTTCTCGGTGATGTACTTCGTTGGAGCAGCGATGTTCCTCCTGTTAGCATCCATTCGCCTTGATCGATCGCATAATGTGGACTCACACATCTATCTGGTGAGTTGTGATCGCTACGAGGTGACGGGAATAGCTGTTCACTTACCCCGTGTATCATCGAACGAAGCACTGCAAATATGCACCAGGCTTGGCCTTGATCCACCGAATGGTCTCCGCCTCGCGTCCAATCCCTTTGTAGGACGCTCATGATAATTCACCACCTCGAGATCCACTATCGTGATCTACGCCCGTCGCAAGTGGTCGTCGCCAGTGACAAGTCAACGGGTCGCTGCCAATCTGACGTTCGCTTCTTGACGCCAGTGCCCACCGCGGAACGGACACGAAGCGAGCGACGAACGAAGCTGCCGTTCACTATGCTAAGAGCTACGCATGCATGACAAGACAGAGAGTCTGCTTTGCGGCAAGGAACATGGACGATCGGGTTACTGAACATACACTGAGAACCCAGAGCAGTGAACCGGCAGCTCCCAAGGCGCTAGCAGTGTTACCACAGGGGCAACTGCATACTGTGGCAATACCGACATGACGAGTTGAATCAAGTGGGCTCGCTGTCTCTCTGCACGTCGTCATGACTACCGTAGAAGTACCGCTTCTTAGTCGACAGCGCCGGATGCCTCTTCTATCCGACGACAAGGCAAAGCAATCGAGCTTTTACACTGTCGTTGGCCGTCAGTTGGTAAAAGACGTGCGTACGTATTGTTCCAGTGTGCTGCAGGAGCGAGACGGGCTGCGATCATTACATGCGGACCCTTCTGCACCGATGGGTTGCCAAACATTTTTCACACGTTTGGCCCGCGGATCCTTTTTCCGCTCGATTCCGTCTCGAGCCATGTTTTGATAAGGCGTCAAAACGCATCGACTGCGTGCGTCCCCCAACTCTGTGGGCGCAAAAGCGACACGTAGAGGACCGAAGAGACAGCATCCGGTACAAACGCTGTCCCATCGAATCAAAGCGCATACCGCTCGAAAAAGCAGTCCCCGAGCGCGTTTTGTGTCTATTCGCTAGTACGTATTTCGACACAAAGAGCGCCATTTGATCACAAGGTCCAGACGGAGTGTGCCATCCGACATCCAAATGTAAAGAGTCGTAACGGCACAGAAAAAGTGCACGCGCGGACGAAGCCAGTTCACAAGCCGCTGCTTTGGGTCCACAACACCCCACGTCGTCGTCCCTCGAGCAGCTCCCGCGCGCGCACTTCTCCAGCGGCAGCGGACATTGCGCAGAGCTCTCGTTCCTCGTCTCTCATTCCGCTGGGCCGAAGCGAACGAACGAACGAACGAGCGATCGAGCGAGCGAGCGACACGAACGAGTCAGTGCCGACCCACGCGCCGCCATCCAACGCACGTGCGCAGCCGCTTTTTGGCTGGTTCCTCGCTCGCTGGCAGTGCTAAAGTCGTGTATTGTCCATCTTGCCAGACTTTTGCCACCTGAGACGACGCGGGGCTTTGAGCCGCGACGGACGCACTTGGCGTAGCCCCAATCAGCCGACCACAGCGACAGAGAGAGAGACAGAGAGAGAGAGAGAGAGAGAGAGAGAGAGTGACAGCCACAATGGGGTGCATGAACAGCAAGCCGAAGAACAGTGCGCAGCCTCCCAGCACAGCGCGATACAACGAGCCCAACTACACAGGTCTCACGCACACGATGGACAACGGCGGCTTCTCGGGCCAGCCGCCGCGCCGCCCGTCCACGCAGTCCACGACTCGCAATCCGCGCTCGACCGCAGGCGCGTCGACTGTCAGTAGCAGCCGCGCGGCCTCGGACAAGTGCTTTCCCGAGCTCGTCCAGTTCCGACTGGAAGAGAGCGAAGTGCTGCTGACCCGCAAGGTCTCGAGCGGCGCTTTCGGCGTCGTGTGGCTCGGCCACTACCACGGCCACCCCGTGGCCGTGAAGCGCATGATTGACGGCGAAGACGAGGCGATCTCCTTTGCGCGCGAGATTGAGACCATGTCGAGACTGACGCACCCGAAGATTGTCCGCTTCATTGGCTGCACGTGGACCAACAAGAAGGATCTGGGCGGCGTGTCGGAGTACATGGACGGCGGCGACGTCCGTACACTGCTCGAGACCCGCAAGGTCGAGCTCAGCTGGCAGAGGGAAAAGATCTCCATCGCCATTGACATTGCTGAGGCTCTTGCGTACATGCACTCGCGCTCGCCGAAGGTCATTCACCGCGACCTCAAGTCACGCAACGTGCTGCTGAACTCGGACATGGTGGCCAAGTTGAGCGACTTTGGCCTCAGTCGAAACCGCTCGTACGAGGAGACGCTGACGGCCGGTGTGGGCACCGTCCGCTGGACGGCCCCCGAGGTGATGCTGGGCGACAACTACAGCGAGCAGGCCGACGTGTACTCGTTTGGTGTGGTGCTGAGCGAGCTCGACACGCGCGAGATCCCCTTCGAGGAAAAGAGCAGCAGAACAGGCGCGAGCGGTGCGCCGGACATGGCCATTGTGATCAAGGTAGCCAAGGGCGAGCTCCGACCAAGCTTTGCGCCAGACTGCCCCGACGTTATCCTGCGTATCGCACGCGCGTGCCTGCAGTTCGACCCGGCACTCCGTCCGGATAGCGAATCGGCTGTGCAGATGCTGAAAGATGCGCGCGCACAGCTCCAGTCGACGTCATAGGCGTTGTATACACAAGCCACGCTGATGAGCGCGATTGCGCCTCGTTCGGCAGCTGGTATCGCTGGCAAGTATGAGTCGGTGCGGTATGACGCAGCTAGAAGTGTTTTGGCTGCTGTACTGCAAGCAGCCGGTAGGGTTGAGAGCAGACGAGAAGCGGCAATGGTAGACCGGGGCTGCCTTGCGTTGTTCAAACTGGAAATGTGAGACACGACAGAAAGCGTAGATTCCATCTGGTTGAGTCAGGAATGAGTAAGTAGCTGACGGGAGTTGCTGGGAGAAGCAGCGTGGCGACGGGATTCTTCAGTACTTGCACGCACGCCATCCTGCTCTTCTCCGCGCTCTCGTATATGAGCGGTTTTGGTCCTTTGTGCCGAACTTGTTACTAAGCTTTTAGCAAAATCAGAACTGCTTTGTAATGACTTTTGCCAGTACAATCGCTGTACATTCCCACTGCTTTGGCCGTGCGTAGCAGGTGGGACGTAGTCCATCATTCGCCGTCGAGTCGACATCGAAGACGCAGTCTACCAAATCGACTTGACCCGGTAAATTCGGACAATCCATGCGTCTGACGTAAACACGTGCTCAAAATGGCGCAAGTCAATATCGCGCTCCGATATTCTCACTCGCCGATTCAGATCCCAACCATATGCGGATTCGTTGCCCTCTGTACCAACTGAGCTCTGTACTTGGCTGAACTCGAAGTAACTGAGCTTGTATAGAACACTCTCCGTCATTGCGAGGGTCGCATTTTCGTGAAAAACGTATCGTCCGTTCACTTGAAACTCGGACTCAATCACGTCGTCAGGAAACACTCCCTCCGAGATCTTGACGATCCAGGGCAACTTATTGAGATCGTCACCAGGCAGGCCGATTTTACCTCCAAACTGCACGAACACGTAGTCGACATCGAGGCTTTGTAAGATCGGCACAGCGTCTTCTTCTCGCGAGGTGAATACACGGCCAACGGTAGCAATGTGCGTGTTGTTCCACGTGTTGTTGTCAACTAGTACCGTACGGTTGGCCAGTGTGGTGATCTGGTAGCCGTAGTCCCACCAGCTGAGAATCTTGGCACTTTCCGGAGTATTGTGACGCAGCCAGGCAAATGCTTCACGATAGTCGTCGTGGACGTCCTTTTCCATCGTAGTCGTGTTTACTTTTTCGAACACAAGTGATGTTGATGAGTACACCTTCATGGCGATTTTGAATGAATGACGAACGTGAATCACGAGGAGGAGCTGTGACAACAATCGTGAGTTTTGCTGACATACATCATCAAGCATGCAAGGCTACGTACCCCACAAGCGAAAGTTAGCAGGAGGAGCGCCCTCGGAGCCGTGTGCTTTTTGCTAGCAACCTCTGCGTCCGATCGGAAGCGCAGCTTAGTGCCGACTGCCGAAAGAACGTCTTCGGTATGCCCATTTTCGTATTCCCGCTCTCCGTCGTCTGCAGCTTTGCTACTTGGCGCCCCTTTTGTCGATTTTGTTCGACACACTTCTACTTCACCTGTTTCTTCTTCACGTGTGATCGCGATGACTCGATGCACGAACTCTGACATCCCGACCGCCGAAAGGTAGCACGCTGCTGGGGCCAAAGTGAGCAACAATCGAACCATTATGCCCGAAAAGTAGAAGGCAAATGTGCTGTAGACGATCATAAAGATGGACGCGGCGTCCAGCTTTTGAAAGGTGTAGAATAGTCCCAGAGGAATGAACAGCATTGCTGGCCCGAGAGAGAAGTAGAATGCAGACCATACAGTCGGCTGGTGTTCTCCCACTGACGCAATGATCGGGATGTACCTTGACGCATACGTTGGATCCAGCAGCGTCAAACTGCGTCCGCTCCATTGAAGCTTTCCCAGCAGGAAAACGAGCAGCAAACCGCTACCGAGAATGACTGCACCAGTTCTCCAGCAGAGTTGACGGAGCTGCAAATAGTGGTGGCTCGAGAGCTGTGCCGATAGCCATTGCATGAAAGCATAGACTGAATCCAATACCAACAAGAACAAAGCCACAATGTAGCATCAGTTACCACCGAATAACACAGGGACCGAGCAGAACAAATGTCAGCAGCCTCCGTTTGCGGACATCCAACTGACCTTGCAGAAGCGCGAAAACGCCGTGGGAACCAGCATTCTCGCCCTTGAGCACTGCATTGAACCCAATGAACGGCACCTGCATCGCGCCGAGCGTTGCAAGGACGTGAAACGTCGAGTACGCCACATACACCTTGGCCGAGTACTTGCCCGCCAACAGCAACACGAGCACGTGAATCGGGACGAGATTGATGACAAACACGTATCCGCCCCATGCCATCGCCATGGCAACACACGCACCCGCAGCCAGCGCCGCCCGTAGCATCGATCCCGTCTTGACAGCCTTTGCCCACAAGTAGAAGGTAAAGATCAAGAGGAAGATGGCAATGCCTTCGTTGTCAAACGAGCCGGCAGTGGACCGGGAGATGTACGCGGGCGAAACGGCCAGTAGCATGGCCGCCAGCAGCGCCGTCGAGACGTTCCCTGTGACCTCCAGCGTCAGGAGGTACTGCGCCACACAAGCGAACGCTGCGAGCACTGGTGCAAAAAAGACACAGGCGTCGCGGATCGAGATCGGGCACCGCAAGACGAGGCTCAAGAGCCACTGGAGCGCCACAGCACCGGCCATGAGGCCGGGATACACTGTCGCGCCTACCACACGTCCTAAGGGGTACCACGCGCGGTCGTCGAACCAGTTCAAGAGCTCGTAGACGCCGTACTGAGCGAGGAATTTGGTCACGCGGAAGTTAAACTGCGGGTCGAATTCATGAATCACCTGCGAACAAAGGGGCAACGACATCGGTACGTCAGTGCAGTGAGATGACGCAGACGAGATCTACGAGAACGGTACGTACGCTCCCCCATCGAATGACTGGAAACAGGCGGACGGCGACGCTCAGCGCGCAAATGACCGCCAGCAGTCCCCACGACACGAGCGGCGGCATGTGAGTGGTCGGTCGCCTGATGGACGTGCAAGTGGGCGGAGAAGGCTTCGAGCGACATTCGTGTCACCTCCACCTCGTCGTGGTTGAAGTGACGTGCATTCCGGTCCGCACTGTGCAAGTTGCCGTTTCCGTGAGAAGAGCCAAGAAGTCGAGCGCCCGATGCCCGTAACACGAAGAAGAGCGCGCTTGATGGAGAGTCAGGAGGACGACGTGGAGGACAGTCGGCTGTTGCAGATGACGCACGAGACCGACGAAGAGCACGAAGCGCAGTCGACGGACGCCGTCGACGACGCGCAGGATGCGGTCAACTTGGAGGCGATGGCCCAACAGGTGAGCCGTTAGTCATTAGCAATGATAGAACAAGAGGAAGAAACCTAACGTGCGATTGTGTGCGACGACTATGTGCAGCTGACGAACACGCTCGAGCACCTGCTGACGACGCACCGGTGCGTGTCTCGTGCCGCAGCTGTCGTGCGTGTTTTAGAATGGGACAGACGACTAACTCGAGTGCAGGCAGCTGGAGACCGACGCGGCGATGATTCAGGCCGGAATGGACGAGCTGCACCGCATGCAAGAAGACGTGCGTTGCTGTTGTGTGTGCATAAGTCGAATGGACGTGGCGTGATGCGGTCTTAACCCGTGACTGGTACTGCTATGCTGCAGCGGGCGCAGCGCATGGTCGACCGACTCAAGAACGCCAGTTCCACGATCCTGACGTTCGGCGAGGGGCCTCAGGACGCACGTGGACAACGTCCAGAGCAAGACGAGCGCGACTGCGAGGAGGACGACGAGATGATGCAGTGAATCGCCCACGGGCGCTGCTGAAAGGGGATATCTAACTCGAGACGTAACGTTTCCATCAATTGTTTCGCTTTTCGACTCACGTCTAAATGTTTCGTGGCCCGCTACAGAGCAACTTGAGAGCTGCAGCTCCTGCAGTCGTGTGAGCGATAGTGGTGTCCTTTGGTACGTGCACGAGAAACACGCCACATCCGGTCACCCAAAGCAGCAGAGCGCTTTGTACAGATATAGTGCCACCCGAGCTGCCGACTCGCCGTACGTGACAGTCGTCTGCTCACTTCTTCAGCGAGTCGAGGTCGTCCTCGTCTTGCAAATACAGGCTCTTGTCCATCACTGCTGCTGCCGCGTCAACAACAGGCACATCGTCGCTATCGTGTTCTCCCTCGCTGTGGACCGAGTACGCCTCGTCATCTGCATCTGCATCGTCGCGGAACAAAGTCGGGTCGTAGGTAAACAACGCACGACCACTCACTGCAAGAGAAGACGGGAAGGAACGAGGTTAGCAAAGCTGCTACGGTTGCACAGCCCAAGGCAATCGTAGACGTACTGATGCCGCGACCGCCAGTCCGCTTGGCTTGCTCTTTCAGTCGCTTTGCTTCCTCGGTCTTCTTGCGCGCCTGCTTATCCGCCTTCCACTTCGCAAGCGACTCTGCTGTGACAGGAGTGCCTCCATTGGGGCCCAACGTGGCACGCTGCTGCTCAATTATTTCTTCAATCGAGACTTCCACCACCTTGTTGCTCTTCTCCAGCTCACGATCCTTCTTCGATTTGAACACGTACCCAGCAGGAAGTGCGTGGCGGTACCTTCGCAATGTACCAAACAACAGTTAATCCAGCGCACGAGTCATTATGCGAATGGCAAACGTGCGGCGCCGATTGAACCTACTTGCAAGAAGTGCCTCCGTTCGGACACACCCAGAACCACCCGTACAACGACTTTTCAATCGCATCCAGAAAATGCTTGCACACGATTTCCGTCTGCTTCGAGTTCTTCTCATGGTGCTTCTCGTTGACCACTTCTTCCAGTTTTTCTTGGTCCCATGTGTCAATTTGATCTGGTAAACATGTGACACGGATTGCACACGTCGAACACAGCATCAGTTTGCATATCAACCGGCATCGATGGAAACTAGTGATGCAGCAGTCGCAGTACCTGCTTCTTTCTCGGTACGGTTGTCCGTGTACAAATCGATTTTAGCAGCTTTCTTGCCCACCATCAAGTCGTGCGAGAACTTGCAACGGACGCCCTGTTGCAACAATAGCACAAAAGAAGCCACGTCTATCAGAACATCACTGCACCTCTTCGATCGTTTCGACACGATCACAAGCCTACTACCTTCGTGCAGACACCAGCCTTGAAAAACGCACAGAGCACCGACTTTGGGTCGGTTCCAGGAGGAAGCTGAGCAGCAGAGTCAATTACAAGGTGAGTCTCGCAGCAGTGCAACGAAGACAATGGCGATCAGAGCAGCCAAGACCTACCGCAGGCTGCCGAATGGAGGCCGCAAACAGACTCTTGAGGTTTTCCTGCTCGGCCTTTGCATCTTTTTTTCGCTTGGCCTCCTGCTCCTTCATGCGGTCAGCACGTGTGGTACCGCCCACAACCTGCTTCGTGACCTCCTGGATGTACTTTTGCACATTCTTGCTCTTCTTCTTGTTCTTCAGGCCGAACGTCTTGTTCTCCAGCACTTTCTCTTTCTGCTTCACGGCAGATTTCTTCGAAGGTCCCGACCCGGCGTTCTTCTTTGGCGGCATCTCGTGACGTTCGCAGCAGAGCTACAGCAGCGACTTTGTTGGCGTTCCTGGTTGGCAACCGCTCTAACTGCAAGCCGAACGCTCATTGGCAAAAAAACGGATAGCACGTGTATTTCAGCGAGTCAAATGCATCAGACGTTTCCCCTTCCTTTGACTACGTGGTCCTCTCTCGACTCACTGTAACTGACACTGTGTATTGGAAGTCAGGCCCTGAGGCGCACGAGTCGCCGTTGGGCGTTACAGTATCGTTAAGACCATTAGCGCAAGAAACGCCACGACCTTAACAACGAAGAGGATCGGTGAATTGCATTAGTGCCGACTGTGTCGCTTTGTGAGCTCCTGGCACTATCGATTACTTCTATTGTGGCTGCTAGCGAGCAGCGAGTTCCTCAGCGACCACACGTTGCAACTTGTTCGATAGAGCAGCTCTGGCGGGTTGTAGCAAAGTAGGCAGCAACGCTGTCGCCGCACGCTCTTTTGAACGGGTATAACGTTTTTTTTCGAGGCTGATCTCGTGCATTTGCGTCGCTGCAGAGCAGCAGAGGCAGCACACTGGCAATGGATGTCGGCATTGCGGCGGTGACGGTGGCTACCAGATTACGCCCGATCGCAGTCACTGAGTGTGTGTGTGTGTGAGCCTTTGTAGGTCTCGACTCCATTTGTAGACGAGTTTTGTGCCGAGCCTTTGGTGGGTGCGAACTGAGCTCTGGTGGCGCTACGAATGTAGATGGTGGACCAGAGCTGGTGGCTCCAAGCCGGAAAATACAGAGGCTGCGAGCTGAAGCGAGAGACCTGACGATGTCGGTCGCTACAAGCGTGGACGGGTCGTGCTCACAGTGACTCTGGCGTCACCGTCAGCAGCAACAAAGAGACGAACGAGCAAACAAAACGTTGCCGCTGTTGGCGTACGAGCGAATGGGAACATTAGAGAATAAAAGTTCATGTACGTGGCTTTCGCCATCTTCAACAAGTTTACGCGATGAGCGCGAGCGCCTTCCAGTCCTCGAAGTGTCCCGTCAGGTTAATCGTTTGCTTCGGCGTTCTTCATAGGCAGCGCTCAGGCAGTGGGCGCCACGTCAGTGAACTTGGTCTCGCTTCGTCGAGTGAGGGGCGACGCGTTCAGTTCGAGTTGCTGGCTCTTGACGTCAGCTTCAGAGGCGCCAGACTTCGTGTCGCCGCGGTCAAAGTACAATTTCAAGCCCAGCATAACGAGCCCCGCAACCTCCTCAACGGACGCAGGAATGTAGATCGGCCACAGGTTCTCGCCGATGCCGTAGACCAAAATAAGGCCAATGCCGAGACAGTAGAGCAGCTGGAAGCGGAGACTGATGTCCTCGGCGCTCCTGGTCTTGTACACCTTCATCATCTGCGGCACCAGTGAGCTGGCGATCACAAAGGACCCGATCATGCCGATGGTTTGATACACGATGCCCATGTTTCAGCAGTAACGGAATGCACAAGTGATGAGGATTGACAAATTGAGTCCAGCGCTTTGTCGCGCACGCGTGAAGTCGGCAAATGAGCCATGTGGACGGACAGACGCTGGCACGCGAGTGGAGATACTGCGAAGCGCGACGTTTCAGTCTGAGAGACAGCGACGGGTCAACGGTATCCCAGGATCATCTCGTGCGACGGAATGGCTGGTTCTTGAGCAATCGAAAGAAACTGCCGAGTCGGAGGAGCACAGGGCCAGAAACACGAAGCACTGGATGCTGTGGTGGATATGGGATATGTCATGTCGCACGTCGTCTGCTTCCGCTGAGGCAGGACGAAGCACTCATTACACGGGTTTTGACTGCAGCATGTCACGCAGTTTCTGACAACATCAGAAGTGGCGGTGGAGCACTGTCTGGTCACGCATGAAGGCGTCGCTGAGAGAGAGAGAGAGAGAGAGAGAGGCAGACGAATCTATTTTAACCGTTACAGGTTTGCATGAAGTCTGATATTTCCTAAGCCTGGATAGCAACGCCGGTTCCTCAGACGAGTCCGGTGGTTGTTCGGGGCTTGTCACCTGAGGTGACGGCTCTCGTGGTTGCCTCACTATTTCGCCAAGGCATAACAATAGGCGTGCGCTTTGTATTTTGTTGTCAGTTTGTCGATACTGTCGCTTGGCAACCGCTCTAAGCTGCCTCGAGCCGGAACCCCAGAAGTCCGAGACGCTGCATTCGAGAGAAACGGCCTCTTGAAGAAACGTTGCTCGGTTTCGTTGAGTCCAGAGGCTTGTAATGGCAACACTTCTTAGTATATGCCACATACGCACCTCGTCAGGATGGTCCCGACGCATTCGATCCTTCACCACTTGTGACACCTCCGGTGTGAGCCGGCTTGCGCAAATTGCGACGAAGTGATGCAGGCTTCTGAGCTCCCAGCATTCACCGGTCCAGTGACAGATAAGCTTCTGCCAACAAGCTTGTGCACACGGACACGTCCAGAAAATATGCTCCACCGTTTCTTTAATACATCGACAACACTGCAACTTTCGACAGCTAGCGTCTCGTTGACGACCCATGAAATAGAGATTGAGTTGTCGTACTGCCACGCGATAAATAACCCACACCTGAAACTCCGTGAGCTCGTTGTTATGGGCCCAAATTGATGCTGGCGTCTGTGATAACGCTGCGGCTTGCCACACGCTGTCGTTTGCCGTAAGTCTAAGCTTCTGCACGGTCGACGCTAAGGCATGGCGCGGTCCTTAAACCGGCGAAAAGGTTGCTTCATGATTGCCATGAGAACGTGTCCATTCGCAACTTCATCGGCCACGCTCCAGGGAAATCCGTGAATACATGGATGTGCGTAAAAAACAATGCCTTTCTAATCTTGTCCTTGTCGTAAGGTTTCACAGTCGGCTGCTGTATGTTTAGTTTCACCGTTGTCCGTCGCCAACCGCCAACGAATCCCATCAATCCCTTGCTCCAGAAGAATTATACCCTCACGAGTGCGCCCCTCGTCCACTCTGATCCCTCTGACGCGACCTATTGTGGTTGGTTCCCAAGCGTACTTATGTTGTCATTGCAGAGGATGTCTCCAGCGCAAATACCGTTGGACTTGAAACGTGTTGCCAATCTCGAAGGCCGGTGCTGCCAATAATACCGTTATTCCCCAGCGACGCAGCTTGGCTTGTTGATGCTAGATGTCTCCGGTCAGAGGGATGACGAACGAGTATTTCCGAACTCCGATTTGATGGATACGCAGAGACGCAATCGTGCATGGCCGAATCTTGTCATATTTCTTGGCTGATAGAGTCGGCCCTTGATGATCCACGATCCACGGATTATTTGTCCAATAGTATGTGGGCCAAAAAGCTTCTTCTTCGGAAGTCATCGGCTGAACGGCCCGAGGGAGCGGCTGCTCAAGTTCTACGACCCATTCGTCTGGGGTGGACCAGCTAATCGCTGTTGTAATTCTGCCTACAATATCCGCAGTACACCTCTCCTGACTGACGTCTGGGGCAGCTAACGACGGTGCAAGCCATGGAGATAGTAAACGGTGGAGCGTCTTACCAGGTGTACGACGTACTTGCGCGAGCTGACGTTTCTGTTCGATAATCGGAGACACTTCGTCTGTAGATGTCAACGTCGATCCGCGAAATGCCCATGCCTGCAAGCATGAAAATACTCGTCCTTTCGTTGAGATAGCCATAACAGGGCCTGTTTGACCCTTTACGTGTTGCATGCCACTATAACGGACGCTAGCCCCGCCCCACCCGCTTGTTCTGGCGTGTGTAAAAGCGCAGGATTAGTCTTGTGGCGCGAGCCCTCTATACTGGTGGATTGCCGCCACAGAAATTGCTTTTGAATATCCCGAAGCTGTCGTTCTGCCCACGGCGGGGGATCAAAAACCGCCGCTGGCAACATAATACTGCCGGCGACATAATGACGTTAAGAATCAGAAATCTATGCTCCACGCTGGTAGCGAGCTTTGTTGCTGTTTCGAGAGTCGTCGTTGGACATTGCGTATACGCGCAGCCCAGTTTGTCTCTGCTAGCTCACCCGTTCCAACAGCGTAGCCCAAGTACCTCGTCGTGTCTCCATGCCTGAGCACCGGTATGCCACAATACTTTCCACGGTCCACGGCCGAGTTCAGAAAAATCAATATACTTTTGGCCGGTTGCACCTTCAATCCAGATGATCGTCCAAATTTCTCAACTATACGTAGCACTCGTGGAATCTGCTGTGCTTCCTGCAAAAAGACAGTCGAATCGTCCACGAATACCGAAAATTTGTGTTTCACTCCTTCCACTCTGGGATGAAGGCGTCGCTGAATAGTGATACCAGCGACGCCTTCATGCGTGACCAGATGATTTCCCATCCATCAGTGGTATAAGATAGAAGCGCTTCTTTGCGCGACCGTTCGTCAAAACACTGGATATGGCTGCCAACCTCGGAAGTCACATTCCGATACGATGAGGTCTTCAATGGGGATAGAAATCACACGCGTGGAAATGGTATCCAATACATTTCAACCGCCTGAACAGCTCCACTACGTCGCACTGACGAAGATGTTTGCAAGTAGAGACATGCATCATAAACTACTGGTTACCAGACGCAAGCTCGAGTAGTTGCGCATGTTTTTTGTGAGACCGCACAAGGGGGCGCATCCTTTGCACCGTGTCTTTTTCGTCGTCTAGTCGTTCTGGTAGCCGCACAAAGTCAACCTGAGAGTGTCTGGTGTGAGAGAGCGGGTGCACGAAGTTGGTCGGTGTACGCTCAGGCGCGAATGCCCACAGCTTTCCTACACATTGTCTGTACCTGAGTCGATAGCTTGTACGCAACATTGTGCGATATTATTGACTTGACTTGCAGCAAAAGGAGTGTGCAGCACGATAGTGTTTGTGGGGACGAAACCAGTTGCTAGGTTGCTCAATGTACAAGAGGTCCAATAACATGGATCGCTTTTTGTGCTGTGACTCTGTTGCGTGACAAGCCTTTCGTTTACTCGTGTCCAACCCTGCGCGATGTTTCCGACCCCCGTCAGATAGATGATGTACAGAGTTCATCAGCATTACCAGTCTACACATTGATCACAAAGACAGGCACTTCGCTTACCATTGCAATCAGCCCAAGTTTGTGGCGCTATCGTCCTGCAGCCAGAACATCTCAAGCGCGCTCGTAGGCTGGGACGAGCTATGGATAAATAAGCAGATGGTGATATCAGGCAAATTGGATGCAGTCAGCGTTATGGACGCATCAAGTAAGTATTTCGGTTTGTGCGTGATAGTCCAAGGGAAGCATCACTTAACTTCCTGCCAGTAAAGGCGCCCGTCTTGTCAAAAAGAACAAAGAGGGGATATTTCTTTCAGGTAAAAGACTTGTGCAAGGCACGGATCCGTTAAAATAACCGTTGTCGCGGAAATCTCAGAGGATCACAATAATTTCAAAGCAAAGGCTCCATTACGATGAGCGCACCCACAGTAGTCAGAGCGTGTAGCCACTGTGTCTCGTTGTGCGTTAGTAACAAACGCTGCCGTAGTTGTTGGCGCTGTCACTGATGCAACGTAGAGCAAATAGCGACTTGCGCAGAATCTGACGGATTTAGGTGGCACAAAAGTATGCGCTTCATTGTCAACAGAAGCCAAGAAGATCTGGACGCTTACGAAAATGCAAGTTGGAAATACGCAACTACCCCATCGCTTGCATCATTTTTGTGCTTTGGAAGACCTTGCGCACTGAGTTGCAAGTATCGCTACTGGGCGCTGGTGAGTGGTTTTAAACGTGTTTTATACCAAGTTTATTTCTTTCGATTGCGAGAGAGGATGTGACGGGGTGAGCCATTAATACGTTGTTTAGTTCAAAAAATGCATCTCAATTTATCTGAATAGATAAACTTCACCGCGACAAGCTTCTCTCCGTGCTCCAGCCACTTCTCGATGACAACGAAATTCGACTGATCCGACTACTACGAGGCACAATGCCCTCCTATCGGCTCGGCAATCGCCTGTTCTCCCCGTTCGAGGGCTATACAGGTACTCCCCAAGGTGACTCACTCTCCCCTGTTCTTTTTTGCTGTTTATCTAGAGAAGCAGCTCTAGGAGACCCTAGCCGGCTAACTCGACGTTCCCTGCGATCTTCTCGCTGACATGATCGTGTACGCCGACGACGCCGACTTTATATGCCAGAGCGCTGAAATAGCTACCCTGATCTAGAACGAAGCCCCTGCCATTCTAGCCGAATGGTCAAACCAGATGAACACGTTCAAGACCGAACACACCATCGTACACGGCGGCTCAACCGCGCTGTCCAACCGATTTACTCGTGCCAAGGATGAAGAGTGGCGCATTACACGCAAATTAGGATCTCTCCTCGGAGACGCCAAAGACGTCTCTTCCCGCAAAAATCTTGCGACCGCCGCACTTCACCGCATGTGGAAAGTTCGGCTCCGGCCATAAAGACCTCGGAAGCTACGCGTCTGCGCCTCTACAACTGCTGCGTATTGCCG